GCTTTTCTTCCTAGTCATTCTAGATGAGATCATGCTTCCTATCAGTATCACCTATAAATCGGCACAGAGTGATAAAGTTATACAACGTCTTGGAGGACTTGGACTACGTCGATCGTCGATGACCTACGACAAGAGGTGGCAAAAGCTGGACTGAAAATTAACACCCAAAAGACCATGAAAGTGAGAACTAATAAATCCTACTTAGGGAGCGACGTGTTAGAAACATGAGGTAGTGAAGAGGGCATTACTTGAAGAATCGTCAAATCCCTAATTGCCTTCGCTCAGATGTGACCGTTTTTGGTGGACACGGTAACTGTCTCGAAGGATTGAGATCAAAATCTTCGGGTTCAATGCTTTTGTCTGCTTTACTGGCGCGAAATATAAAAGGTTACCAAGCAATCTCATGTCAAATACAAGTTTTCAACCGTGCCCCGAAAACCCGATCGACTTTGAGATTGAGATGAAGTGGGAGGAGATGTTTTCTAAGATATTTTGATTACAAGACTAAGATATATGAGTTATGTAGGCATAAGCATTGGTTTTGAAGAGGTTATCAGGCTACAGTATACCAATAATATACCTGTCTCCAGAACCGAAAGCGAGACTTTGCTCGGAAAGTCGGAAGCTGTGCTAGCAACCAGCCAACCAACAAGGTATTAAAATTAGGTAAAATAAAACACCAAAATAGACAACATCAATATTTATTTTTATAATTACAAAGTAAAAAATATTATATCACATATCTTCATTAATATCATGCATTTTATAATTATACATCATGAAACCTATTTCGTGTTCGTCCCGCGGCAAAACGATTTGCCATAAGAAAAAATAAAGATTGTGTCCGTGTTCGTGGAAGTGTTAATTTTTTTATTTCAAAAAAACTTTCTAGTTAGCCTCGCAAGTGCCGCCCGACGAGAAATACCTCTTCGAGAATTAATAGCGTGATGTTTTGATAATGAATTCATATGCGCTTTCAAAGTTTACTTTTTGCAATGGTTCACCAGTTACTTTTTGTTTCATAAACATTTCATTTCTTTGTAAAACTATTGTATTACCAAGACAGAACCATTTTACTTCGGGACGAAAACGAAATAGACTTCACGGTGTATTTGCATAACAATTTTATTTTGAAACAAAATACAAGTACATAATTATCTTTCCTTAACATAAACAATTCATTCGCGACGAGGGAATAATTTACACATCAACCCTTAATTCAAGAGATAGGTTCACATATATATAACTTTTCGCCATTCATGATATTTTAACAAATCGATATAAAACATTAATGTGAAAGTTATTTTACCCAACATGAACCTGTGACCTCATGTCTAGTAGTCGATATGACAAGTATAAGACAGAAGGTATTTCTTAAATCAACTGCTGCGCAAAAATAAGTCCCTAGAATGTAATTCATCAAACGTTCGTTCAGTAACTATGACGTCATCAATGAGACTCACTCTGAGTGAACGAATAATGTATCTATCGAGACGTGACGTGTTTTAATCCCCCAAAGGGGTAAGCGATGTAACACCCACTTATCACCAGTCATGTTGTGAGTCCCATGTAATAGGGGGTGATGTAATGAATAATATACAAGGTCAGTTTTGAAACCGTGACATTTCTCGGGGCATGTCACAGAGGTCTAAAGGTTCAATGTAAGAGGAAATTTGGGGCCAATAGTAAAAAATTCGGCTATAATAAACCGTTTAAGTTCGACAGTATTACAGAAAAAGCGAGAACAATGTTTCTTATTGGAGTATTATGGAATTAGGAATAATATCAATTACGTGTTTGAGTTTGTGTGTGTTAAGCCGCGTTATAAAGCTGGTTACAAGATGGCGGCGTGTAGCTCGCACTTACAGATTTCTGTAATTTACAGAAAAATGAAACATTTACAATTTTTTCATTGATTTGGACTCAGAATTGATAGCCGAGTTACCTCCTAGAAAATGACGCGGCTTTAAAACAATACCTTGTATATTATATTGTTAATTAAATAGATTATACATTTTATGAAATTTTCTATCACATATATTTCTGTTTCTTCATAGATTAATATTTTACTATTTTTTAAACATCGAAAGCTTGAAAAGTCATGCTTTTTACATAAATACGTGGAAGGCACTAACATATAATTTATATGATTAAATGTTCAGTCACATAGTAAAATGTTTTAGCCGTTTCACTACTTTTGGTTAAGTTTCAGTTATGCTAAGAGACACTTACGGGAGAAATCAATAAGCAATCTCATTTTCAAATGGCTTAAACAATATTAGAACTTTTTGACAGGAAATTAACAGAACTATTTATATAGGTATTATCAAAAATCAACGTTAGTTAAAATATACCAAATTTTGGATTTAAACAGCTTATAAGTGGCCACTGCTGACCAACGGCCTTTTCTCACACGGAGAAGGTTTAACTCGTCGAGTACCGTCATTATAGACACAATTATAGAACAATAGGTTGCGGTCACCGGTGACCGCTTGGTGTTTGACAGTTTAAGCATTCATAACATAACCTTTATCCCTGAAACTCTTTCAACCTTTCAGGGATCAGAGAAATGAAACCCTTTCAGGGATAAAAGCCAGACATTACGGCACTTAATGCTAGTGGGGGTTATATTGTACAGTGACAATATAACCCCCACTTTTCACTATTTATGTTATGAGTCCATGTAATAGGGGGCAAGCCTATTGCCATATACAGGACACATTTCCAAACTCCGTGCTACTACTGAGATTTTTTTTAAAACCCTGTAATTCTTTGCCCGATCCGGGAATCTAATCCGAGCTCCCGTGCCCGGCAGTCGCACTTGCGACCACTTGGCCAACAAGGCAGCAGTTTGAGCATTAATCACCACGATTATTTACGAATATTGGATCGATACCCTTTATTAATATCGGAAGTTAATCAATAGTAGTGAAACCGGCTTTTAATCTAGCTATTTATCAGGAGGTGCGAAAGGGCTTTGGAACATAGACATGCGTAACAACATCATCACGTTTTTATTTCTAAAAAATATTAAGCTGAAGAATAATTGCAGTGTATATTTGTTTAATCTTATTTCACAATAAGCGTGCTGTTATCCAGGAAAAATAGAGGCCCAAGTACGAATTTATTTTACGGGTATAGTGGAATTATTTCCCAGTCTGTATTTCCTGAAGGGTTGTACATATAGTTTGTATTTATAACCTGGGTGTCTTGAAGCCCCGAGCGAATTAAAAAAATAGAGGTTGCTTATGGGACGACCGACGTGCTACATCGTAGACCGCATCATCGCTTACCACCAAAAATAATGAATCGAGACTGCTTTTTGCGCTATGATTGGTTGGTTCATTAGAATCGGCCAATCAGAACGCCGGACGCGGTCTCGTTTTAATTAGTTACATTAAACGTAAAAGAAACTCGTACTAAGGCATAAGACTCGGTGCTATTGCTGTGTTAGATTGTTTAGAATATTTTAGTGTTAAAATCTGTGAAAATAGAAATCTCTATTTTATTCATGTATGTACCTACATACATACTATGTAGGTACATTTACATACAGGATTTATACACATAGATTGTACAAATCAAATAATTAAAATTATTGTGTAAGTAAATAATTTAATATAACATTTTATATAGAAGTAATAGGGATGATGACGGGGTATGAAAATTAAAAATGTAATTAGTCCGTAAATTAGGTAATGAAAAAATATTAGACACGTATTTTTTTATTTTGTCGTATAATAAAATAATACTTAGATAAAATGAATAATAGTTTAAGAGTGGGGGCTAAAACGTCATTTCTACGTAAAAAATGTACATAGAAGTGACGTCACGCGACATTTCAAATCAATATATCGACGAAAGTATTTGTTTCTATAGGAAAATAAAAAATACGTTTCTAATGTTTTAAAATAATCTACCAGACGGACATTAAAATTAAAATTAGGCATCTACCCTATACTTCTTCGTGGCCGAGCTATGTACAGCACTGAGCTGAGCTCCGGCCTTTTGCGTTACGACGCACCATGGACTTTTTGTGTGTACCTGTATTCTTGTTGTGTGTCATGGCGTAATAAATTATATTTCTTTCTTTAAATTAAAATGTCCTGGTCGTTACAAGTTTAAAGGTTAAAAATCTCATAATTAGTTTTTGTTTAAGAAAATAAATAATCATTTAAACAACAATATATTCTTTGGACACTGAGCTTTAACGTTAAAACTAATCACTGATAATTTCAAAAAAAAAAACGCCAACATATTGACACCCACTACGAATTTAGTATTTTTCGAAAAATAATAAATCGATCTCTTCTTCTTAGAATTACTAAAGACAGCTTTGTGTTGAGCAACGACAAAACCTTACAAAGATATCATAGATTTTTATATACATTAGAGGGGAGTCCCTTAACACCGGACGGCACCTAACGCCGGACACTTGTATTATCTTTTTTTTAATTTTAAGAGGGAAATCGCCCAGTGGCAACACCTAAGATTTTTAATGAAAATTGAATCGCTCGTGTTATCAGTTATCGAGAAAATACAAGATTCGGGCGTTAGTTGCCGTCCGGCGTTACGGGACTTCCCCCTATATATATTTTTATATAGGTACCTATGTAATGTAATATAAAAATAAAAATGCTCGATTTGAACATAAGACCATAATAATAATTTAAACCTATGTGAGAGTGTGTGTGGGATCAAAAACTAACAACTATTTCACTGATTTTATATAAGTCAATCATTTTAATAACAAATAAATACTAAACTAAATGCGAGTTATGTTTGTTGTACCTTCACGGCTAAAACTACTAGATCACGCCTTTTATCCCCGAAGGGGTAGGCAGAGGTGCATTATGCCACTGTACAATGTAACATCCACTTTTCACTATTTATGTTATGAGTCCCATGTAATAGGGAGTGAGCCTATTGCCATATACCTGGCGCAATTCCAGACTCCGTGCTACAGTTAAGAATTTTTTTAAAACCCACTAATACTTTGACCGACCCGAGAATCGAACCCGATACCCCTTGCTCGGCAGTCGCACTTGCGACCACTCTGCCAACGAGGCAGTCATACACCATACAATTTTATACAGATATACAACGCGAAATCTATTTCTAAATCTATGAAACACTAGGCGTAAATTTGTAGGCACTATTCGCATCGCACGTGCCGCCTGACGAGAAATACCCCTTCGAGAAATACATGGCGTGATGTTTTTATGGACTATGAGTTCGTATGCGCTTTCGAAGTTTGCTTTTTGCAATGGTTCACCAATTACTTTTGTTTTAAAAAATATATCTTTGTAAAACTATTGTATTACCAAGACAGAACTATTTTACTTCGGGATGAAAGATTTATGGTGAAGATAAAAAATAAATGCTCATTTGTACCTGGAACAGTAAGTAAAAATATTTCTTTAAGTAGTTCTGTTAAAGTGTGTTTTGTAAAACATAACAATGGCACTTTATAAATCACAGTATTTAAGCATAGTTGGCAAAAAAATATAAATATTTTATATATAATGCTTTAAAACCTATATTTAAAAAAAATAAACTTTAGAATCTATTATTATTGCATTGTACGGTTAACGGTCAAAAGTCCACCGCCACCGTAACACTACTATCAGTTGCTTATATATACTAACAGTTGCCACACACACGCATATTTGTATGTGTGCGTACGCGTGCGTGTGTATGCACATTAATATGAAATTACTTGCGCATTGCCGTGTGAACATCACTCACGGTGGCAGTGGACTTATGACCGTTGACTGTACATATTATTACTTTGTTATACTTTGGCTGTTTTTTGATCTTATTTTTACTCTTTCAAGTTTATCATTATTATTTTGTATTATATAAGTATCTGTATATTAATGTTTACTTTTTATAGTCTTTGTATTTGTGTGCCTACTTGTTAAATAACTTTTTTCTTTCTTTTTTCATATTGAAGATTTTGTTCCCACACACAATAATTGGCTAAAAAAGGCTAAAAAATAATGAAAACAATAACAAATATAAATCTATTACATCACATTTAAGTCTTTTTGGTTTCCTCCTTCGATTCTATTTGCTGAAACTCTTTTAGAAGCGCGTCCTCGTCGAACAATGGCGATGAATCTGGAAAAAATAATCGGTTGAATGTAAATGCCACGTTAATTTATTTAAGGAAGGGTTATGCAAAGATGATTTTACAGTATATTTCCAGTTTGTTGTTATACGTATTTTTTTTATAAAGCCCGTCTCCGCCTTTCAGAACTGCTGCAACCCCTGTAAGCCATGATCTACAGTAGATACAACCATGAAAAGTCCGAAACACTAAAGTCCGGCGCGTCCCAGGGACATGAGTAACTGTCTTGGTTCCCACAACGAAGTGAATCAGAATATATTATAAGACAAGAAGAAAATACGATAGTTTTCACTTCCCTCGGTGAATTACTAAAGGAGACAGAAAGAATTATGCATTAAATAATCGATGCATGATTTTGATATGGCAAACTATAATTTTTTTTTTTAGTTTTTTTAAAAAACGTTGCCCCACATTAGGATTTTCTCCTGTGTCGTGGGTGCGTTTACAAACATACAAGTTCACAAACACAATGACACCCAGACCCGAAACAACAATTTGTGGATCACACAAAGTGTTGTTCCGTGCGGGAATCAAACCCGCGACACGTTGCACGGCAGTCGGTTGCCCAGCCACCGCACCAACCGTGCAGCCAAATCATTTCAATCAATTTTTTCAATCAATTCCACCAAGGAGTAACTTAAAAATAGCTAATAGTACCCATTTTTGTCTATCCTACTACCCTGTTCAACTAGGACGTAATATACAGTTCAAAACATATTTAACCTTCAAGTCCTGACGTGGTTTACTCATATCATAAATGGTGACATGACGTCACGTATGTCAAACACCTTAATAAATAATCGAAATGGATTACTTTTATATATAAGGTGTAACAAAAATAGTGCACAACATTTTAGTAGGTCAATTAGTATGTGATAAACATCATTTTTTTATGAAAATATTTTATAAAAACTTATCATTTAATTTTAATAATTCAATTATTCATTTATTATTTTCATTGCTTTTTATGCCATCCTGCAATATGTACCTATTCCTATTCGAAAGCTCGGTCGTTGACCCGTAAGATAAACGTCCGCACGCATCCATACGGCTGGCGTTATGCGTAAAACACAACAACAATTTTGCAAATGTGATGCTAAATTTAATTAAACATGTTGTTGTTTAAATTTTTTTTTAGGTAAACATAATCCTTATCATGTACTATATCACCTGTTAAAATATTTTGCACTGTTTTTATTAGACCTTATATATTGCATTATGATCTGTCCATTATTATTCTATTAAGGAAGTGCAAAAAAAAACATTTTCGAATGAAATCAGCGGTTTTTGGTTCAACTTCAAAAAAATATATTTCGCATAACTTAAAAAAAAAAGTTACAATCTTAGCTACAATACAATTATTTGGACCTTTTTTGGAAAATTCTTATATTCGTGAACACGCCGTCTATGAGACACCCACGTCAGTAGTTAAAGGTTAAATTATTTTTGGTATTGCTATAATCATAATTATTTATCATTCTCACCTTCTCGTTCCAACTTCACTTTACCGAATAATTCCTTGTCTTCTTGCTCAGTCTTTATCTCCGAACGGAATTTACTCTGGAAATTATACAATAACGTTATTTTTGATAAAATAAACACATACATAAGATCACGCCTTTTATCTCCAAATGGGTAGGCAGAAGTACACATTATGGCATTTAATGCCACTACAATGCAGCACCCACTTTTCACTATTTATGTTATGAGTAGTGTAGGAACACCGGGCCCATTTCCAGACTCTGCTACTACGGAGGTTTTTTTAAAAACCCAGTAATACTTTGCCCGACCCGGGAATCGAACTCGAGTCTTGTCGCACTTGCGACCACTCGGTCAACGAGGCAGCCATAAAAATAAACGATTTAAAAAAAGATCTTTGCCTCACACTAGTACTCCTGTGTCGTGGGTGCGTTTACAAACATACAAGTCCACATACACATGACACCCAGACCCGAAACAACAATTTGTGGATCACACAAAGATTTGCTCCGTGCGGGAATCGAACCCACTGCACGTTGTGCCGCAGCCGATTGCTCAGCCACTGCGCCAACCGTGCAGTCCACTAGATTAACTCGTCGAGTACCGTCATTATAGACACAATTATCGAACAATAGGTTGCGGTCACCGGTGAGCGCTCGGTGTTTGACAGTTTAAACCACAATTTCAATTTGTCAGCAACACGTGACTTACAGACCGCCTGGTAGTCACTAGTCACTGTAAGCAGTCACCATTATTGATGACAAGGATAAGAACATTTTCTAGCAATAATCGATAAAAGCACTTACTTTGATAAAATCGGGCAGTCCGTCTTGTAAATGGTACCAGCTCAAAATAAATATAAGCGACACGAAGAACAGATTGGTGCAGATACCTGGAACAAAATAATATATTTTTGTTATTATTGGCTTTAACCGTCTGCGACTGACGTGTAGTCCCACAGACACCGCGAAATACAAAATCACGTGTTATACCATCATTTTTCAAATACGAGCATCACTGCTGCGAGTACCTTACTGTATAGTGCTCGCTATACTTTAATTCTACAAAAATATTTGCTGTTGAAATGGTGTCTGGTATAATACACCTCAGTTGAATTGTAACAATTTAACCACGTCAGTTGCAGAGGGTTAATTCAAGTGCGGGAGAGCCATGCTTCGGCACTCGGTCGGCTCCACCGGAGTCATACCATCAACGAGTAGAAAACCATAGTGAAACAACCACAGCGTTGTGTTTCGTAATGTGTTCTTTTTATTTTTCGATCACTTTGACTGGATTTTAGTGTTACATTGTTCGCGCACAATCCAAACAGCAAAACTATGTAACTAGTAAATTGTATTGTGAACCTGATTGAAAAAGTACCTATGGTAAGTAACCTATGGTGTTTCTTGCTCGTTCTTCTCCATAGGAATCTACACTTTGAAATGAGCAAATAGCTTCACTTTTAATTGTTTTGTTGACGTTCAAAATGCCTTTGTGGTGTAATTGAAATAAATGATTTTGACTTTGACTTTGTATGAGAGGTTACCGGCGGCCCAATTACCCAGTCTCCCCAATTTCCGATTCCCCAACGATCCTCAAATTCCTAATCCCCAAAAGGCCGGTAACGCATCTGTCTGTAAACGCCTCTGGTGCTTCGGATGTAGACACACCATACATAAAAATTAACTTTATTTCTGAGTAAAGTTAACTTTATTTCTGTTTTATAATAACTATCGTGAGACATACTAAATTAACTAAAATCACGGGTTACTAATAAATAATAACAATAAATAAAATTTATTTTCAAATAGTCTAGAAATGTACAGTTTTGCATAAAGCTATATAAAGTGTTCACGTGAATATACTGAGAAAAGCTCTACTAGTTTCGAACCACAGAGGGGTTCTTCCTCATGAGCAGCGTGCGAGGTCGCGACGTCGCCGCGACCGCGCAGTAGAGCTTTTCTCAGTATATTCACGTGAGGAACCCGTGATTTTAGTTAATTTTTTCGAACTGTCAAAAACGACAATTTTCTATGAATTTTGTGCAAGATTGTGTATTGTGACGTCGTGTTTTTTAAGCATCAAACATCATACTTATTTCTTTAAAATTTGCTGGAAAAATACTAAAATTAAGTTGGTCATAAAATCAATTCATGAAAGTATGATTTTTTTTTTAATATTTTATTGTATTGATTAGTCGAAATATTTTATTTTTGATTAAGGGAAGTACCTAACTTGGGTATTATAAATAACATCCTAAACAATAAAATCAAGTTATAAAAAATGCTATGAACAAACCGCGACTCACCGAACACTGCAGATATCTTGGGCCAGTTGAACATGAGGTACCGCAGCCCCGTGAAGTGTGCCTGTACGTGTAGCTCGCTCGAGTACACCTGCGCGAACCGAGACTGCAGCTCTACGTACGCGTCCGTTGCTGGCTTCTCCTGTAAAAGTATATATGTAATTGTTTTTACAAACGTTATCCTAAAGGCCTGGTAGACTTAAACCGATGACAGCGCCATCTACAATTAGCATCACAAATAAAATAATCGATATCGTTATTTTATTGTAATCGCTATTGGTTTCGGTTTTGCAATAACATTTTAGCCGCCACTGCAATCATTTCCGGCGCATGCTGCTAGTAGTGGCTATGAGCCCCGAGCGTGGCTTGAAATTAGTCGAACCGTCGAAAGCTACGCAAATAAACCATAATTGACTGTGAAATGATATGTTTGTCTTACCGGATCATCTTCGAAGTCACTGAAGAGTTCCACCTTCAGCTGTTGTTTCTCTTCGTCCACGCCGCCGAGATAAAGCGGCGAGAAGACAAACGTCCTCATTATGCGATGCAGGAGAGATCTGAAGGATAACAATGAAGCATTGTAAAGTTCCATATTATACATTTATGCACTAGCTGTTGCCCGCGACTTCGTCCGCGTAGAATAATGACTTCTAGCAGAATTTATGCTTTTGAATTAGTCTTTATCAAGGGAATATTCTACGGTAACGAATGTCGTCAGAATCGATTAAGTACCTAGTATAGGGCTCCTCCCCCGTAGATGATAGCGTGATTATATGTAGCCTATATGTTGACCCGACTTATTAGTAATATTCATGCAAAAATTGAAGTAAATGCACGCAGTACTTTTTGAGATCATCCCGGACATACATACAGACAAACAGACAAAAATTCTAAAAACCATATTTTTGTTTTCGGTCGACTGTAGATCACACTCCAAGTATTCTTTTAAAAAAAAATAGAATGTACAGTTTAGTAGACTTTCTACGATTTTATTATATGTATAGAATATAGAATAGATACATACATTACATACATTTTATATGTATGTATAGACACAGACAAAATTTCAAAAAAAAAATTATCCTGGTATGTGTTATTGTACTGTCGTTTGTACATATATTCATATGTATGTAGTAAAAAGCGGTTATTTTAATATTACAAACAGACACTCCCAATTTTATTTATCTGTATACATATGGAGTGACTACGAACTTTTTTATTTTTTTTTATTTTATTTAATGCACTAACAACTAACATTACTGATACATTCCAATACGATAGTGTAGCCATCAGTCTTACCACATCTTTTAGTACTTACTTATTACCTAATTATAATTAAATTAAAACTTAACACTTATACATACCTATATACTAATACAATAAAGTTTCCCATACAAATTTAATATCTTATATGAAACACTTAAAATTATATACTCAAAATTAATCATAAACGATATTTTAAATTATTGTGGTACATACCTGTATCTGATCATTGCTGACCGGCACGATGAGGAGACCAAGTATCCACCCTTGGCGCGCATCTGAACGCAAACCATGAACATACCTATAATCATACACATTTTCAATTAGGTAATATAAACGTTTAAAAAAAAACACTTCAAAAGGCACTTTTGAAACTTCAAATTTAATCAATCTTGTACACTTTTATGTATGGGAGACCCATGCTTCGGCACGAATGGGCCGGCTCGACCGGATAACACAGCCTCACAGAATGCCGACGTGTAACAATTGCTTGCGTTGTGTTTCGTCGTGTGATTGAGGTTACCGAAGACCCAATTACGCCTCCTCCCCAGTCTCCCTAATCCCCGAATCACCGCTAACGACTTGTAACGCCTCTAGTGTTTCAGGTGTCCATGGGCGGCGCCGATTGCTTACCATCAGGCGATCTGTCTGCTCGTTTACGCTTATACCATAAAAAAACCTCTTATACAAGATCACGACATACTAGGGGGGATGTTCCCTAGGATTTTATGATTGGTGCATTTAAAAACATACTGATGATTTTGAAAAAGAAAAGAAGAACAGTACAGTTTTCTTAACACTTGTCTTATTTATTTTCGGAGTTATTTTAACAATATTATATTATACACGTACAGCCTCGATAGAAGTGAAGCTTAAAAAAAAAGTATTACCAACATTGACATTTAAGTGACATGACGTTCACTCTTAGCAGTGCAACCAACAAAATAAACTAAAACTATGAATAAACATTGCTATACTTATAATACCCCTTCTCAATGTTTATACATATCATTCGAATTAAACTAAATCTTATACTAGTTTAACTTCTCTGTGAAGTACCTTAAAATGTAACATTGCATTGAATTAGACACTTAATTAACAAATCCTTACATAAAGACTTAGTAAGCATGTCTGCCAGTTGTTCACAGGTACTTACATACTGAATATCAATTTTCTTATTTGTAATTAAATCTTTAATGAAGTGATATCTAATATCAACATGTTTAAGACGTTTAACTGAGTCTGTACTTGCATTTAAAATAGCTGATTGATTGTCGCAATACAACTTGACTGGGCAAACATTTTTAACATCTAAATCATGTAATAAATTAATAAGCCAACATGCTTCACTCGCTGCCATACTCATAGAAATATATTCAGCTTCAGTAGAAGACAGGCTTACAGAAGATTGCTTCTTTGAACCCCACATAATCAAACAATTTGCAAAAAGAAACAAATAGCCAGATGTAGACTTTCTGTCCCTCTGATCACCTCCCCAATCAGCATCACAATAGCCATGCAACTCATTATTATTACACTTATAAACTATTTTATAATCTAAAGTATGCTTTACATAGCGCAATACTCTCTTAAGTGCACTTAGTAATGCACTGTTGGCACAATTCTGATATCTACTTAGTAAGGAGACTGCAAAACACAGATCAGGCCTAGTCCCTGAAACTGCATACATAAGGCAGCCAATTATTTGCCTACAAATTTCTTCAATATCTTTATCACAATCCGTATTTATATCAAAAATCTTAGTATTAAAGTTTATATCCAGGGGTGTTAACATTGGTTTGCAGTTTTCCATATTAAATCTTTTTAATACATTTTCTAAGTAATTTCTTTGTGATAACATTGTTATCCCTGTTTCTAAGTTTTGTTCAACATTTATACCTAAAAAATCTGAAATCAATCCTAAATCTTTCATTTTAAATTCTCTGTTTAACATTGCTTTTATGTTAGTTACCAAGTTTGTATTTGTTCCAAAAATAAGCAGATCGTCGACATATATTAACACAAATACTTTATCTTTACCATTATACTTTTTATACAAGCATGGGTCACATTTTGACCTAATAAACCCTTCTTCAATTAATACAGAATTAATTTTCACATTCCAGGATTTTGGCGAACCTTTTAGCCCGTATAATGACTTATTTAGCTTTACAATATTATTATTATCTGAGTAGGCCCCTTCTGGCAAGCTTACATATACATTTTCTTTAATATCACCATATAAAAAGGCCCCTGTAACATCCATTTGGTATATAGGTAAGTTATATTTAGTTGCCATTATTACAAATAACCTGAAAGTTGCTAGCTTAGCTACTGGGGCATAAATGTCACTTAAGTTTATTATATCTTGTTGCTCGAACCCCCTAGCAACAAGCCTAGCCTTATACTCTTTAACATTATTTACATTTTTAATCCTAAAGACCCATTTGCTACTTATAGGCTTTGCATTTACAGGCAAATCACAAAATTCCCATGTGTTATTGTCACTCAGAGTCTTAAGTTCCCTAGCAATGGCTGCACTCCACTTACCCGCATCACTTCTGCTCATGGCATCTCTATAAGTAATAGGATCGCACTCACTTTGGTCCAGCTGCACATTATTACACCTGTAGAGGTCCGTTTGTTTACGCTCACGCTTACTCCTTCCCCTTATAAGTAAATCAGTTTCTTCCAGTAGCTGTTCTTCCTCACTGCATGGTAAGTAATCACTGTCACTTTCTGATTTATCTTCTAGAGTACTATTTGTATGGGTTGTCTCTATCTCATTGAGGTCATGACCCTCTGTCATTGTCTCATCGGCCTCAGGAGTAATCTCTTGCACCATCTCCTGTTCAGGATTTAATGACATTATTATTTGGCTTTTACTTTCCTTAACTTGAGATTTCTCCTTATCTCCTTGCTGTAAGAATACAATGTCCCTTTTCGTCTCCACCACATTTTTCTGCGCATAGTAAATTCTGAATCCTTTCACATCCTCCTCATACCCGACCATCACTCCTTTCTCTCCTTTCGGATCCCACTTCCTTCTTTTTTGCTTCGGAATGTGTGTGTATACTTCTGTACCAAAGGCTCTCAATTGATGAATATCATAAGTTTTCCCAGTCCATACCTCAAATGGAGATTTTCCTTCCTCATGGCTTTTCCCTGTCCTGTTCAACACAAACACTGCCGTGTTTATAGCTTCAGCCCATAGTTTTGTTGGTAGATTTCTCTCATGTATCATTGTCCTGGCCGCTTCCACCAACGTTCTATTCTCCCTTTCAGCCTTTCCATTTTGCTCTGGGGTGTATGGTACTGTAGTTTGGTGTGTTATTCCACGTCTTGCAAACATTTCCTTCACATCCCGGTTCACAAACTCGAGACCATTATCACTTCTAAATGTCTTGATCCTGTTTCCTGTAACATTCTCGGCCTTATTTATGAAATCCTCAATGACATACTTGATTTTATCTTTGGTTTTGACAAAATGCACACTTCTGAAGTTCGAATAGTCATCTTTTAGCACAACGAAGTACCTCGAACCACCAACTGACGGTTCTTCCATAGGACCGCAAGTATCGACATGAATTAGCTCACATGTCCTAGTACTTTTGTATTCACTTTTGTTGAATGGCAATCTGTGTATTTTTCCAACCAAACAACTCTCACACACCGGGTTGGATGTGTGTTTGACCTCGATGTTGTTTTTCCGCAAGATATCCTTTACGTAAGTGAAGTTTTGATGCGCCAATCTTTTGTGCCATTCATTCAGGTCGTTCGATACTAACTTAGCAGTATTCGCAATCTCACAGTTATTATTATAGTGTAAATCCAAATAAAAAGAATTTCCAATTCTTTCCGCAACTGCACAAATTTTGTTTGACTTGAATAATTTGCATGAACTGTCATCTGTCACCATGACATAACCTCTCTCAGTGGCGCGATTGACCGAGAACAAGTTCGTTTTTAGTTCAGGAACATACAACACATTATCTATGGTTGTGTCAATCCATTCGTTTCCGTTCGATACTTGTACTGCCATCTGTCCGTAACCAAGCGCATTTATCACTGCACCATTACCGACAATTACAGGTTTAGGCGAAGTATTTGTGAATGAAGTGAACAATTCACGATCCCGGCACATGTGTTCGCTGGCACCAGAATCCACTAGCCACTTGGATTTATGCAGTTGATGCGACGAATGAGACACCACAAACGCGTTACTTTGCGTTTTATTTTCACTTTTGGATATTCTTTGTTTTCGAAATCGGCATTGAGCTTTGAAATGTCCAAACTTTCCACAATAGAAACAGTTATTACTATTATTCACATTTCCTTCATTATTCGTTCTATTATTCATTTTGTTGTTACTCTTACATTCATTTTGATAATGCCCACTTTTACCACATTTGAAACATTTCATCATAGGCCTTTTATTTCTTACATAGAATGCAGAGGATGATGCTTCCTGTGCTTCTTCGTTCTTCTCTTTTAATCGCTCTTCTTCAATTAGTAGTCTGGCCACTAGATTATCAAAAGTTTGTTTGTCGTCAGGCGCGGACTCCCAAGCCGACACGAAGTGTTTGTATTCATCGGGTAATGACATTAATACTTTCGTGATAACAAACTTATCTGAGATTTCTTCGCCCATCTGTTTTAATTGGTTTTGTAATTCTTGTATTTTAGACAAGAAGATCGACATGTCTAATCCTCTTTCGAATTTATACTGAAAAAATCTTTGTTGTATAATATGGACACTGGTTTCAGTCTTTTGTTCGTAGACACTATGAAGTTTCCTCCACATCTCTGCAGAACTCGTACATGTGATAATGTGTAACATGGCCTCCTCCGACATCCGTGTGACTAATAGCATCTGCGCTTTGGCATCCTTCGCTTCCCATGTTGGTAATTCACTTGCAGCTTCGGGCTTCACCTGTTTTCCTTCTACTATGTTAAACCAGCCATTGCCCTTCAATAGTACCGTTGTCTGAAATTTCCATAGGTTCCAATTTTTGGCTCCTTCTAACTTGATCACATTGACGTTATTGCTGTTGCTTCCCTCCATTCCGACTCTGTCTTATCCCAATTAAGAACAGATACTCCTCGACGATGTTCCGCAGTACCCGAGCCGGAGTACCACGCCAGGTGGATAACCTCACTTTCCTTCCCGTCGATTGCTGCCGTGGCCGACACTAACGTCCACCTTAAATCAAGCAGGAATATGTGCCTGGGCCCATAACCTGATGATTTTGAAAAAGAAAAGAAGAACAGTACAGTTTTCTTAACACTTGTCTTATTTATTTTCGGAGTTATTTTAACAATATTATATTATACACGTACAGCCTCGATAGAAGTGAAGCTTAAAAAAAAAGTATTACCAACATTGACATTTAAGTGACATGACGTTCACTCTTAGCAGTGCAACCAACAAAATAAACTAAAACTATGAATAAACATTGCTATACTTATAATACATACATATGACACGGACTCCGTGTCATATAACATCCTCCGTGTCATAGTCATGAAACAACAATTTGTGGATCATTCAGAGTTACTTCACATGCAGATCAAGTATTTTTAAATTAATTGGGATTGTGCTTGGCCACTTCCCATTTCTGATTACCCTTGCAATAAATATGTAGGTGTGATGTTATTAATTGTAATTAAATTCTCTCTAATATTACCCTTTGCTCATAACTAATAGAAAACTGTTAGATAAGTGATTGATAAAGGCATGGACCGTTTTATCTCTACATGATTGAATTCTGCTGACTCCCTGACCTTTGATAGGTTGAATACTCTCTCTTGAAGATAAGGTGAGGTGTTAGAATAAAAATTCCATTAATATTAATTTATGCTTTTATAATAACTATCGTAAGACACTAAATTTACCAAAATCGCGACGTCGCCGCGACCGCGCACGCTGCTCATGAGGAAGAACCCCTCTGTGGTTCGAAACTAGTAGAGCTTTTCTAAGTATATTCACGTAAGTAACCCGTGATTTTAGTTAATTTTGATATTAATTTAAATAAAAAATTAATAAACGATATTACAAGCAAGTCATCTTTTGTTACATCTTACTAATATTATTGACTGCACGGTTGGCGCGATGACTGGGTTGACTTGGGTTCGATTCCCGCACGGAGCAACTCTTTGTGTGATCCACAAATTGTTGTCCCGGGTCTGGGTGTCATGTGTATGTGAACTTGTATGTGTGTAAACGCATACACGATACAAATGCGGCAGATTGTGTGTTTGTTACTCAATCATGTCCAAATGGCTGAAAGGATCGGGATGACATTTGGAACAGTGATATATGGTCTAGAATAACACATATAATACTTTTAGTGTAACAAAGACACATAAGATATTTTTTATAATAACTATCGTGACACATACCAAATTAACTACAAATCGCGGGTTACTCACGTGAATATACTGAGAAAAGCTCAACTAGTTGCCAACCACAGAGGGGTTCTTCCTTATGAGCAGACACGATAGTTATTATAAAAACACGCTAAGTTCTCTAATAAATGAACCATACCTAAGTCTTTATTGACTTCGGACTCTGGCATTTCAAGCACAAGTTTGATCCTGTACGGCTGCTTCTGCATCAGGATATTGCTGGCCTTCGTCAGCTGTACGTACGCATACGGATACGAACATATTCCCGCTTTATCTTCACATGGTCTGGAAAATAAGAGATATTAAGTTAGTAAGATTCTCGGTTCCTCTTATTAAGGCTTTTTTTTATTTATTACTAGCGACCCGCCCCGGCTTCGCACGGGTACAATATGTATATACATACAAACCTTCCTTAAGAATCACTCTATCTATTAAAAAAAACCGCATCAAAATCCGTTGCGTAGTTTTAAAGATCTAAGCATACATACGGACATACAGCGAAAGCAACTTTGTTTTATACTATGTATTGATGATAGCGTACCTCCCTATATGTTAAGAAAAAAAAGACTATGTACCATCATTTTATGATAATAATAGAAATAGTTTGTAAAATGAGCGCCTCTCGCCATCAAACGTCAAAGTTTGGCGAGTTTAGATTTAAGACCTATGTAAAATTTCAATGAATAAATTTGTTAAAAAAATATATGTTTTATGTTCAAAGGTCCACTGAGTGATATTCACACGGCAATGCGTAAGTAATTTCATATTAATGTGCATAAAAACGCGTGCGTACGCATAAACACGTACGCACACGGATAAAATATGCGTGTGTAAGCGCTGCAGCGCAACCGATAGTAGACTTACGGTGGCAGTGGACTTTTGACCTTTGACCAACCTTGTATGCCCATAAACAAATTTTATATTTTTATATTTTATACTCTTATTTGACCAAAAAGTAAAAATTAAATAAATTGTGACTTTGCAAGTTGTTTTTGTTGTTTGAGATAAATATGTATTATCATTGCAAATCTTATTGTTTGTAAATAAAAATAAATATCATAATTTCAATGTATCCAGGCTGTAAACGGAACGTCCCTGAAAGAGGTGGCCGACAGGTGATGGTAAAAACAAGTGTTATTTTAATAAAAGAAAGGAATTAAATGTTTCTTTCATGTAATAATAGCTGTAATCAACTGTTCAAGGCTGATGTTGCATGAATAGCATGAAACAAAAACTATTAAAATTGTGAAAACAATTTCTTTTTGTCAGCGTTTCAGAAGCATTCTCTTTACACCCTATATGTCTGAGTCTGAACAATGGATCATATAAATGGACTCGCTTATGATAATGAATCACCTATTTTCATAATACATAGCTTCTGCCCGCGACTTTGTACGTGCAATTCCTTTTTCTCCCATTTCCATAAGATTTTCAGGATTTTTTTTTCTATCATACGAACCTTCTCCTGACAATAAAAAAAAATCAGCCAAATCGGTCCAGCCATTCTCAAGTTATGGCATGACATAGGGAAATGGATTTCATTTTTACATATACATATATAGATGTGCGCAATAGCTAGAATAGTACTTATCATTCATATACTTTACAGGTATTATAAATACTTACTTGAACTGAAAGTGAACAGGCCGCACATGAGTAACATTGGGCATATAAATATTGTAGAAGCCGACATACATAAAAATTGATAACCACAGTATAACAGTTACAAATAACGTCACTATAGCGACCCTGTACATCAACTCTTTAACACTCGTAATACTTTCATCAGTCTTTTTCTTATAACCCAAATATTGATTCACTAAAAACGCTTCGACAGGCTTCCGAAAATATTCCCGCGCCACCGTAAAAGGATTTAAAAAACGTAACACACTTTTTTCAAACATTTTTTTTTATTTATTAAGTCAAGGAAACTGATCTGTGTTTAATCGTGGGTAGATAAATGTGTAGTAATGATAATGCATATCTTTAGTACAAGGGTTAAGTCCGCTTCGTTGATAGAAGCGTGATAGATGACGCAGTGCACCACGGATGCTTGGAGATTAAATTGATAGCGACGGAGGTCAGTTCGTTTAATAAAATGTTGATAATTATTTTTGTTATTGTTTATAATGCGCAGATAAAACCTACTGACAGATTCAAAAGTTTTTGACTTTTGTTTGACACTTTCTTCGGGGACTTTGAACGGGCTACCAGAAGTCAAAATCAGGATTTCTTGTATTTTGCAGCAATGAAGAGGTTTGAAAGCACTCAAACCGGGTTTACAAAGATTTTTTTAAACCAATAATAATATGTTGAGTAATTGTAAAACAATTCACTTTTATCACAAGAAATATTAAGAATAAATAAAACTACATGCACACACACTCAACGATTCCAAAATTATAGGGTAACTCATTTAGTAGGCAACCCTACTATCACCGTAGTTTCGTTGCATGCATTGATAGAACTGTTCACCAATAAAACTACTGAGAAAGTTCGTAATAATTCTTCTATTACTAATTTTATTTTATTTCTATCCATAATAAAAAAGTTGGCAAGTTGGAACTTTTAAAATTTTATTTAGTTTGTATTTTGCTTCTATACGAAAAAGTTTGAAACGAAATCAATGTGTTCCTTAGAATAAAACGGAACGCAGCTGCTGTTCGATTTTGACACATTTTGAAATTTAGTTCACCGTGTACGAAGTAGATTTTAAAGCACGAAAACGAAACAGAGCTATGTGTAAATTTGATATCAGAAAGGGATAGAGATCAGTTTTTAATTTCCCAAAGTCATGGAATGTACAAGATCTGATATTGTCAAAAACAAAACAAATTTCAAAAATATCAGATCTTGAATTTAGATTTAATGCAAATTAAAAATTAAGCAAAATGTTACGTTTACCAAATTATAAAGTATCCTACCTGCAAATACAACAGAGATTTGTAACGAGTACAACAAACGTCGTTTTGAAACCGAATGTTTCGGCGAATGCTTATCAGCCCCGATCGGTAGAAAAGAAGAAATATGAAAATTGGGAGAAGTATAATCTGTTTACTGCTGAGAATTCTAGCATAAAACCTCGGTTTAGTATGGTGCTGCCTCCTCCGAACGTCACCGGGTCGTTACATTTAGGTTAGAATTTTTATCTATTTTATTACCTATTTAATTTTTACCATTTTTTAAATGAAAGTTATTATTTAGACAATATCTTGGTATATAGTTGTCAACCTAAGATGCCTGTACACGGCAGTCTTTATTATTGTAAAGTCCACAGTCCCATGATGAATCTTGTTAACTGTTTACCATTCTGCTGATTAACATTGAAAGTTATTAATGAAACTGAAAATAAATCAGAATAAAAAATAGATTAAAATATAGTATAAACATCATGAATTAATTCAATAGTGTGGGTCATAACTTGCCTAGTCAACATCATCATCATCATCAACAGCTTATAAATGCCCACTGCTGAGCCAAGCCTCTTCTCACATGGAGAAGGTTAGAGTATTAATCCCCACGCTTGCTCAATGCGAGTTGGCAATTTCAAATTTATAGGTAATTAGAAATTATAAGCCCAGGTTTCCTCACAATGTTATCCTTCACCGTTGGTCAGTGGTGTCTAAATAATCTTAAAAAGTACATATAACCCGGAAAAGTCACATTGTTACTTGCCATTGGCAGGTTTCGAAAGCACCCTTGTGCATGAGAAGTAGACGTCGTCAATCTCTGGGCCCCCACGACAACTAGTTGACGATGGCCACAACAACTATTACTTATATATACTTTTTTATATTTGATGGCCAACTCGCCTGACGGTAAGCAATCTTGTTACAATTTCAAAATATTTAATGAAAATATTATGGGTGTTCCAGGTCATGCGTTAGCCTGTACAATCCAGGATGTGATTATAAGACACAGGAGATCCAGGGGCTACAATGTGCTCTGGTTGCCCGGTATAGACCATGCTGGAATTGCTACACAGGTACAACACAATTCATACTTAAACTCGCATCTTTAATGCATAGACAGCCAGGGTGTAAACGATCAGAGCCCCGGAAGACCTAACGAGTTGCCGGGGCTTCGGCTCGAATAGCAGGAGTAGGAATGGGGTCTTTTCTAGTCAGTAAGAGTCTGACACTACCTCTCGCCTAACCCAAGGCGGGAGAAGCGATTGGATGATTTTTGCCACCTCAAAAAAATGGTGAAATAAAAACGATTAAAATTGTAAAACAAAATTTTGTCATTGTTTCCAGAGAGTTCCGTTTGCACCCTCTATGAATGTTCTTTAATTCCCATCACATATTGTTTAATAATTTATGCATGCTGGGTAAACATACTTTGCACTTGGACTTTTTCAATTTATTTGTTAATCAATTTTTGCTATATTTAATGGGTACATTAACATGAAGCAGGATTCCAGGCATAGAGCCTGAGACTGTCTAGCTACTACTAAACATTTTCGAGTACTGGTTGACTTGGTACCTCAACAGTTCTTTTTTTACAGGGTGTAGTAGAAAAATATCTAAAAAAAAAACAGGATATATCACGCAACGACATAGGGCGGGAAAAGTTCCTACAAGAAGTTTGGAAATGGAAGGAAAAGCATGGACATGCTATAGTCAACCAGTTGAAAACACTTGGATGTTCACTCGACTGGAGCCGACAGACTTTTACCATGGACCAGAAACACACACATGCTGTCAACACAGCCTTCATAAAACTATTTAAAAAAGGTCTCATATACCGCAAAAAGGCTTTAGTCAACTGGTGCAGTGCATTAAATTCTACAGTCTCCGATATCGAAGTTGACAATGTCACTTTAAATGGCCCAAAGGAGATCCAAGTACCTGGGTATGACAGACCCATTAAGTTTGGTGTGATATACCATTTTGCATATAAGGTGTATAATTCTGATGAGGAAATTGTGGTTGCTACTACAATGCCAGAGACTATGTTGGGTGATACTGCGATTGCTGTACATCCTCAAGATAATAGGTAATTTAAGAGTTGAGTTTTATTTAATCTCTATTTCTTAGTGCATTAGGTTGAATTTGGAAGCAAAATATCCAAAGCTCATGATATAACACAACATCACGCCTTTTATCCCCGAAGGGGTAGGCAGAGGTGTAAATTATGCCACTGTACAATTTTACACCAACTGTTCACTATTTATGTTATCAGTCCCATGTAATAGGCGGTGAATCTATTGCCATATACCGGGCACATTTGCAGACTCCGTGCTACTACTGAGAATTTATAAAAACCCAGTAATACTTTGTCTGACCTGGGAATCGAACCCGAGACCTTGCCCGGCAGTCGCACTTGCGACCACTCAGCCAAAATATTCAATCGCATTGGTAGATTTAGATATTTCAAATTGCATTTAACAAGGTCTACACGCGCGTGTTTGGGTTTAAGGCGGGCAACGCGTGCGCGGGTGCTGTGCGTGATCGGAGCGTATCATCTAATCTTTTTTTTTATGGCATAAGCCGGTAAACGAGCAGACGGATCACCTGATAGTAAGCAATCGGCGTCGCCCATGGACACCTGGAACACCAGAGGCGTTACAAGTGCTTTACCGGCATTTTGGGGATTAGCAGTTTGAGGATCGTTGGGGATTCAGGGATTGAGGAGATTGGGGAAGGGGAGGGTAATTGGGCCTCCGGTAACCTCACTCACACGACGAAACACAACGCAAGCGTTGCTTCACGTCGGTTTTCTGCTCGGCCGTCGACCCGGCCCATTCGTGCCGAAGCATGGCTCTCCCACACTTATACGCCACTTATTCAAACGCCCTTATGATGATAGAAATACTTATTTCTCATTTACAGGTATAAACATCTGGCAGGCAAGGGAGTTTGGCACCCATTCAGAAAAGAAACGATACCAATAATACTAGATGAATTTGTTGACATGAAATTTGGAACCGGCGTGGTGAAATTAACACCAGCGCATAGTAAAGTAGACTATGAAGTAGCAAAAAAGAACCATATACCATCAATTCAAGTTATCAACGAAAAAGGATGCATGACAACTTCTGACCAGTTCAATGGAATGAAGAGGTATGAGTGCCGGCAGCTGATCTTAGAGACACTAGATAACTTAGGCCTTTTAAAGGATGCCAAACCACACTCAATGACCTTACCAACATGCAGTCGAAGCGGAGGCATCATAGACCATCTACCGAAAGAACAGTGGTTCTTGTCCTGCAGCAATTTGAACAAGAAAGCCGCCACACTAGTGGACAAAGGTTTGCTGGAAATTGAACCAAAGAAGTTCATCAAGTACTGGCAGAATTGGACCGGAGATGACCGCGACTGGTGCATCTCCAGACAACTTTGGTGGGGCCATCAAATCCCAGCCTACAAATGCAGTGTCGATCGAAATATAGTTTGGATCGCCGCTCAGAACGAAGCTTCTGCTAAAGTTGAAGCTTCAAAAATCTTAAGAACCTTACCCGACCTAATCAAAATTGAAAGAGATCCAGACGTACTTGACACGTGGTTCTCATCAGGAATCTATCCATTCGCAGCGCTAGGCTGGCCGTATTCTGTCAAGAAAGACTTTGAGAAGTTCTATCCCTTAGATCTGTTGGCAACGGGACACGATATCTTAGGATTCTGGGTCCATAGGATGGTGATCCTCGGACTAGAGTTAACAGATCGGTTACCATTCAAAAAGGTTTTACTGCACGGTGTGATTTGTGATAGCAAAGGCGCCAAGATGTCCAAAAGCAGAGGAAACGTTATAGATCCCCTAGACGTTATAGAAGGGATTAATATGGAGAATCTTAGGGACAAAACGAAAGAAATGCACAGAAATGGAATTTTGAGTTTGGCGGAAATGGATAAGGCTTTGTCGTATCATCAGGCAAACTTCATGACTACTGGAGGAATACCGGAGTGTGGGGTCGACGCGTTGAGGTTCACTTTGCTGTCACACGATATTAAATCTCATTTTGTCAACTTCGATATTGCGATGTGTCACTCTAACAAACTCTTCGGCAATAAGATTTGGCAGAGCGTCAAATACACTCAGCTCTCGTACTCCAAGCTACCCGCCTTAAACGCCGAGTTGTCCAAGTCAAACCTCACGTATTTCGACAAATGGATCCTAAGCAGGTTGTCAGAAATGGTAGCGACGGTCAACAAATCAATGAATAACTACGACTTCCACTTAGCTACGAAAGCGATAAGGACTTTAATGTACAACGAGTTTTGTGACATTTACTTGGAGGCTACCAAACCAGGGTTTGCCGGCAAAAATTTCGTGAAGGCGTATGCTCACGCGCACACATTATCCGCAGTTCTGAATACGTCACTAAGGTGTCTCGCGCCGTTCATGGTATATTTGACAGAAGAACTAATTCCAAAAGTGCCCACCTTCGCAAATAACATCGTATTCAATTTTAGAGACGGCCCTAACAAATATTATGACTTCCCGTTTACAGAAGATTTTACGGAATGGAAAGACGACACTATCGAAAAGCAAGTAAATCGATTTATGAACACGATATATTTAATTAGGGAGTTGAAGGCCCTTTACAACATTTCGAATAAAGAGCGCCCTTCAATTTACATTAACAATTTGGATGAAAATTTGAGAGATAACATAGAGAGTAATCAGGAGGTATTTTTAAATCTATCGCGGTGTAGTGATGTTACGTTTAAACCGGATTCGGATAAAAATTATGTGTCCGGGATTCTGGATAAGAACACGGAGGTGCACGTGGAATTGTTGGGCGAAGATGTGGAATTGGCGATTTTTGCAGCTAAGACAAAACTAGAAAAGAAAATTCAGCAGTTAAATGACAGTTTGTCGAGATTAGAAGCCAAGTTTGCTAGTGGACATTATTTGGCCAATGCCCCTCAGTGGGCTCAAGCCGTGGACAAAGAAAAAATAGATTTGAAGAAGAAAGAAATAGCCCAATTACAAAGACTGATGTAGATTTAAAATTAAGACTATAACTAGTTTGTAGGTGATATTTAACTGGCTCTCAGTTTGTGCAATAAATTAAATAATATTTGTTAAAACAAACTCTCGATTGAAAGCAAATATTTTTGTGTGTTAGTTGTCAGTGGTAACAATTTAAGTGATCATTTTTGCACTACTAAGTTGTTACCCTGAGTAACTGTCATCCATTTTTATACATTTTATAAATAACTTATCTTCAATGTGATAGACTGTATGAATGCATTATATCGAGTGTTTCCTTTAACAAAATAATGTAAAAAATTAACAGTACCTACATATTGGAATATTAGGAGTCAATCAAAATCAAAATTTTTAAATATCCAATATGGTGACTTCAATGCCATGAAATATTTAAATCTAAATAAGTATGTAACATAGTGAAAAATAACAGTAAAATGTCTTTAAATTATTAAATTATAAAAATAATGTTGTTTAATGCATTTGTTTGTAGTATAATAAATATGAAATTTATGTAAACACCTTTTTTAAATAAACGACAAAGATTTAAAAAATTTATTTGTTAAAAAATCCAATGTTTTTTAAAAACTTACAACAGATGGTAAAGATATCTTTAATTACTAATTGACTAACAATATGTGGCCCCGTAGAACCAAAATAATACATTTTTTTACCTCTATGATAAACTTTAAAATGAGAAAAATGCAAAGTTAGCATTCACTATATTATAATTTATCCTATATTACACAACACACTTTTCGATACACTAAGATTTTGTGTAATTTAAATACTTAAGATAATTTACCATTAAAAAAATATGCTTTGAAATGTAAGAGTCTATGTCAAAATATTATTTTTTTTCGATTGGACCAGGCAGATCCTTTTGAACGTTTAAACAAATATTAAAAATGTCAGTCCCCTAGTAAAGTTATTTGTTCTTTCCAAAGTGTAGATTCCTATGAGAAAGAACAAGCAAGAAACCCCATGGGTTAGGTACTTGCGCTTTTTCAATCAGGTCCATAATACAATTCTTGGTTACATTGTTTCGTTAATGTGTGCTTTACTCAGGCCAGATGTTGGCGAAAATGATCATTTGAATCTTATAGATAATTAGTTATGCGGCTTCTGTATTTGATGATTTGAATTCCTAAGAAGCCATGTACAAAATATGATAAGAATCCGCTTAACCATTTCAAAGATCTAGCAAAACCAAAAACGTTACCCCAGCAAAATCTCGAATAACCTCGCAACCGATGAAAGAACAAATACAAAATAAGGCACAACATTTACTTTTTTTTTTTATATATTTGATGGGGCGACGTTTGACCACTATCTCGCCTGGTGGTAAGCGATGATGCGGTCTACGATGTAGCACGTCGTCCCATAAGCAACCTATTCACTCGGGCCTTGAAGACTCCCAGGTTGTACCCTTCAGGAAATACTTCATCAAGACAACAAATTTTATAGCTAGTAATTATTTAAATATTCCCGTTAGAAAGAAAATGTTCTGGCTGGGGTAATGTTACCCCAGCAGGAAATGTTTTGTGAAATAATGAAAAAGTATAAGCGCAAAAAATTTAAAAATGTGCGCAAGAATTACAGAAACCGCAAAACTAATTATCTATATGATCAAATGACCATTTTCGACAACATCTGGCCTGGGTAACGGACACTCAATAAAATATGCTAACTTTAAATACTTAACATAACTATAAAAAAGAAAACATAAATGACAATTAAAATAATCATACAAACATCCAATATAACTTGATCCATCTCAAGTGCACTATAAGCTTACCGTTATCCCTTTTTCTCCCTACCATTCATGCGTAATGCCATCTCACTCACATATGGATATGTGCTAACTTCAGAGAGGTCAATATATATTAGTTGTTCTATTTTGAGCGTTATACACAACAACAATGTTAGTTATCAAATTGGATATGGTATCTTATAAAATATGTACATGGACAGGAGTGCATTAAAAGGGGTTAAATATGTTATGTACAATTCGAGATAAAAGTTTAAATAAGGGGCATTCGTCGTCAACAGCCAATAATGCCCATGCTTAGTAAAGCTTCTTCTCACACGGAGGTTTGAGCATTAATCACTACGCTTGCTCAACGCGGGTTGACGATTACAGACTTATAATTAGAAATTATAAGCCCAGGTTTCCTCACGAAGTTTTTCCTTCCCCGTTTGTCAGTGGTGTCTAGATAATCTTAGAAAGTACATATAACTCGGAAAAAGTCACATTGGTACTTGCCGTTGGTTCGTTTCGAACTTCCGAGTCAGCACGGTGTGAATAAGGGGCATTACCTATGCGTAAATAATAAAAACATTTCATTAAACAAATTAACATTATAGATTTATGACTGCACGGTTGGCACAGTAGTTAGGTAACTGGCTGCTGAGCAACTTACACCGGGTGCGATTCCCACACGGAACGATCCTTTGTGTGATCCATAAATTATTGTTTAAGATTTTCTCATTCTATGAAGCAAGGTTCCTTTTGTAACGGAAACAAAATGATAATTATATCCCTTATTAAAAAAAACACCTGTCGCTTGTCCTATACATAGATATGTTATTATTAAAACATTAATAGCCATAGGTACCTACGTACCTTTATTTCTTAAATATTAATTTGATTTCGGTCTTGATTTTATTCATAACAAATTGTTTTAAATGAAATACAAAGGATGAAATCAGGAGTAAAATTCATTGATAATTGACTTAGAACGTACCTTCCTAACAAAACTGGTTTTGGATAGATAGAACTATCTATTCAATATTAAAATCTAAAAAACTTTAATATTTAAACAAAAAGTATTTGGCCTTAGATTATTTAAAATTACATGCTCATTAACAGAATCACCAAAACACTTCATTAAAATAAAAACTGCAATTTTTAACAATTAAACAACATAAAATCTCGACAATATTTTTCAACAAACACTAACAGAACAGAACTAACAAAAACTCAAACTTTAGCTTGAACTTAAGCTATGGCTTAGACAAAAGCCTCTAAGAAGTTGTTAATTCTAAATTACATTTCGACATTCACCTAATGATCTCGAAACTTACTTTTTATAAAATTAATATCATGTCAGCATACTTTAGACCCCATAAGAAAAATTCGCCAATTTTTAGCTCTGAAGGCTTAGTACAAGTTTGTTTTACGTTCAACGAGACCGAAACGTTACCTCGTTTAGTCCTCTGATTGGTTAGTTCATTGGAGCCGGCCAATCAAAGCGTCGAACGCGTTTAACTAATATTAGACCCTCTGAATACTTGTTAGTAAGATTAGACCATATTTATTAACATACAACATACACTTACGTCTTAAGATATGAAAATAGTATATTATATTAGGTACTAATTCGACATAGAAAACTCACATACTACAGGCACTACAGCTTGGCAAAAAAGAGTTTGACGCGGTGACAGCTGGAATTAATATTGACTTTTTTTGACGTGACAACGTCTTAAATTAGGTTGCGGCTGGGAGTCACTTATGAAAAAGTGTAACGCTCGGTAACGTTACGATGAGTCACCGAACGAGAGAGAGGCCCGCCGAATGCCTTGCGTCTCTCTCCCACTCAACTATGATCGGTCTGCCGCGCGCGCAGCACTAGTTCATTCAATTCCTTGTTCCTATTGTGCAATTTAATTATATTCATATCAATAAATATTCTACCGAGAAAAAGACGTTGTCACGTAAAATCTTCGCCCGTAAAAACGACTTTACAGGCAACCATTTTTTTTTTAAGGGGGGAAAATCATCGAATGACTGCTCCCGCCTGGATGAGGCGGGAGGGAGTGTCAGACTCTTACTGACTAAAAACCACCCCGTTACTTCTCCTGCACGTCGAGCCGGAGCCCCGGTTACCCGTTAGGTTCTCCGCGACTCCGAATCGGCATCGGCCCTATTGGGCCCCATCTGTGGTGGTCTGATGGCTCTTTGAGGCGCGCGCGGAACGCGACGCGCCGTACGCTCGGGTCTGTTTCTGGTCGGACGGGGAGCCACCCATGCTCGCCGTCCGCAGGCCCGCGCTTACGGTGGCCGGAGATCGTCCCGCGATCCCCGACGCCCGGTGTGTCCTTCGCGATGGCTGGGTTGCGAGGAGGCAGCGCTTCGCTGCCTCACGCGTCCCGCCTCCTCCTTAGCTAGCATATTAATATTGACTTGGACTGAATCACCCACTCCGGACCATACCCCATGAATAAACAATCGTCCGAAAATAGTACCTTCTCTTTTTAAACTCAATGAAGCTAACAAATATCAAAACCCATACCATAAGGTTGCCATAGGTACGATACTAGTCAGCTCAATTATTCCCAACTATTTTTTGCCAAGCTGTACATATCACAACACAAAATATACTTATTATATGAAATGTTTGACACGTAATACATATAACTTGATATAACATTCAGTTTCAATCCACAAATGAATGTTAAACTAATCGCCTTTTTAAATATTCGATATTTTTACTTGTATACACGAAATAATGTAATTTTATCCTTACTCAATAATGGAGACAGAGGACTAAAAATAAATGGCCTTCTAGCTCCCAAACTAAGGCTGCATTTCCACCAGAGATGTACAAGGATGCGTAGCGAAAGATGTGTTTGTAAAGAACCCATAGAATCGCTTCATTACCTCGCCTCGGTGCACATAGGTGGAAACGCAGCCTAAGTTTATAGTATAACTTCGGAATAATCTAAAAAACACATTCAATAAAGATGTATTTCGATTGAAATCTATAAATATTTCATGCATATTTTAAAAACTAGACATACATATTGTTAAAAAGAAATATTTTTTCCAGACGTAAAGCTGTCTATTTTATGCTCAGCTCTGTCCTACAGGTGTTTTATTATCGAAGAGTATTGGCACTACTTTATGTCTTGTTGGTTAGAGCATTTTAGCAACTTGGAAACATTTCTCTTGATAGCACCTGTCTGTGACAGATTTTATTAAATAAACAAAGAATTTATTTAGGACCAGTTTTACATGGCCTCCCATAAGTGGAAGTGCCTGATACATGTAATTGACAGATAATATCATAATATGATTATGAAGGTTTTATTTTAAAACTGTTTCTGATTTAGAGTACTCAGGCGTAACAATTTAGTAAAACTTTTATGTGAAAATAATAAAATCTAAACAAAACCTGAAAACAATCATAAACATATTGTAAATAAAAAAAGTAACTATGATTTTAACCTCTTTGGTAATTTCCCTTTACAATTTGTTTCTGGTAACATTATTTTTTTATTACCTGTGTGTAGGCAGATATATTCTTGGGGTTTGTATCCATCTGTAAAAAAAACAAATAATTTTGTATGTAAAAAGAAATGATCGTCTTTTACCTATGTCTACATATGTAAAAAAAGCAACAATTACTTTTTATTTAAAAAAAAATTCAATAATACAAGGAATATTTTTATGATTTTTCAAAAATAACTATTCCTTTAATCCTCAACAGAGTACATTAAATAACCTATTTAACTCTTTGAGTACCGTCATTATAGTCACAATTAAAGAACAATAAGTTGCGGTCACCAGTGTCCTCACGGTGTTTGACAGTTCAATAACAGAACTGAAACAAAAAAGTACTGGGCTGGTCACTTGTGCCGCATGTCGAACGAGTCGAGCGGTGGGCAAAAGTCACTACTGAGTGGAGCCCACTTAACGCCAATAGTCGTCGCGGCATGCTCAGAAGCAAATGGCGGGATGAACTTGACGCCTATTAAAAGGATTGGCCACAGAAAGGAGGCCTGCAGTAGGACGACCATGACTAATAAGAAAAAATAAATTAAATACTCACTTAATCTCCTTAAATGTGGAGTACCCATAACTTTGCTCTGGTCCTCATGCCATTTCACATGTTTGACAAGACAGAAAAGGTACTTGAACATTTGCGAGCATTTGGCACAAGCGTACATCATCTCCCCTTGGGTCGACGACGGTTTAGTTTCCGTTTTGGTCGGAAATACTTCACAGTCTATGGAACTCTTTATGACACCTCCTGGTAGTATTTCCAGTGTTGGCCAACTGTCTGTTTGGTCTGATTTGGATATTGTTCTTATTCTCTGTGGATCATGACAAGATGTTGCTTAATTTTGGTGTGCGTTACTCAGGCCAGATGTTGTCGAAAATAGTCATTTGAATCTCATAGATAATAAGTTTTGCAGCTTCTGTAATTGTTGTGCACATTTTTAAATTTGTTGCACTTATAGTTTTTTAATTATTTTACAAAAACATTTCCTACTGGGGTAACGTTACCGCAGCCAGACCTTTTTGTTTCTAATGGAATTATATTTAAGTAATTACTAGCTATTAAATTAGTTGTCTAGATGAAGTAAATGTTGTGCCTTATTTTGTATTTCTTCTTGCATCAATTGCAAAGTTATTTGAGATTTTGCTGGGGTAACGTTTTTGGTTTTGCTAAATCTTTGAAATGGTTAAGCAGATTCTTATCATATTTTGTATATCTTCTTCTCTATAAGATGAATTATTTGTGATTATAGAGCATGTTTAGTGCGATATACGAACAATGCGCCCCTTCACCTCACCCTTTCCGTTTCCCACCGAATGACATGTTATAACAGTGATTTTTGATAAGTTCGTGCAACTGGAAGATAACTTACCTCACTAAGATACCTGGAATTTTGTTAGAATATACACAGTAGGTAGTATTTAACTTTTTATGATGTAGATCATATAAGCATCAAGTATTCTCAAAGTCTATTAATAATTAACAAAAAAAACAAATATTAATTAAGAATTTGTGGTATATTTAAAAATAAAAATGAATATTCATTATATCAACTGTTTTAGATTGTTTCTAACAGCAATCAAATACAATAACAATTAAATTCTATTAAGTTAAATAGATTATCCCTTTCTCAGATCAAAGTTCACATTTTACGTCGCGGAAATGCACATACGATAATTATGTCGACATTTTATCTTAGAACTAGTTCAAGGCCAGGTCACAAAACAAACTTACCAAAGGATCCTTCATTTTCGGATGATCCAAGAGCTCAGGAACTATAACTTCTTCGCTATCACTGAATCCATCTTCGTCCTCCTCATCACACAACTCCTCAGAGTGCACGGACACCATACTCCCGATATTTGAATCACTATCTTCATCAATGAAATGGTTGTAATCCAATACATCATCGCGACCAACTTCGAAAATATCCTCCTCAGTCGCAGGAGGAATGTGTATCTCTATTGTCCTGTCTATCCTATCCCTCGAAGGCTGCACGTCCTCCATTCTAACGAGCGCCACATTCTCCAAATCCTCATTTTCAAGAGCTGAAGACATTTTTGTGATTTGCGTCTCAAAACATTCAAGTTTTCACATTATCTCCTCTATATTACACGCGAATCCAATATTTGATTGGATTGCTAGATATATTAGATGTACAGGCGTCTTTTGGTAGACTTCCTGTTTGCAGTTTATTTATTTTTGTGGTTTTCAAAACAAATCAAGAAATAGAACGAAGTGACAGCCACTGTGATGTTTGTTTTTGACGTTTGCTGTCTGTCATTTTTATGTCAATGGAAAACAGATTATGTCATAATTGTCTATGAATCTATGAGTATATTATTCGGTATATTCTGACCATGACCGCCAAAATCCAACTTAATTCTTATTCATTCTCCTTTCTACCGTTATGGGGTCTTTGGAGGCTCTTTCAGCAGGTACTGGATAAGCACGGATTCGTGTAAATAGAATTCCGCGCCACAGAGTTAACAAAAGTCTCTACATTCGAGTAAATCTAGAAAGATAGGATTTTAGGGCGACAAACGAGCTAAGTATATAAGGTACTTTGCTGTCTGTAACTTATAAATCAAAGAGTATAATAAGTATTTATAAATGTTACAATAATAAAACTTCCATATGGATTTATTAATCACTTTTATTCGAGCAAACGAAACTCAAGGACAACAAAAACATTTTCCCTAAGTATTAAAATAGCTGTTTCATTTCACAGTCAAATTTATTGCAACATTTAATTCAGACTTAATAACATGGACAACCTTCAAAATTTAACAACAAACAATTACAAATTACATCTATAAAAAAAAAAACAAAAAGCCTTATACCTTGAAAGAAATGTTCACAACAAAAGAGTTACTTCTTCTACGTCTCAGTTCTAGCATCATCAGCATAATTCCAATCATGGACAGGAAAATACATTTGCATCAAAGTCTCATAGATTTCTACATCAACAGGCATGAAGGTGCAAAAAATTACTCGTTCCATTCGATCATTTTGTTCCAAAAATTGGCGCGTAGTCCGGAGTGCGATGTGGGCTGCTAGACGATTGGGAAAACCATAGATACCGGTAGAAATACAGGGAAATGCGATGGTTGTTATTTTATGTGACTTGTGAAACGCTAAAGAGTTTTCATAACACTTCTTTAGCATCGCCGGCGATGCATCTTGAGGTCCTACTGTGTGGATTACATCTGAAATGAAATTAATATTTGTAATGATTGTAAACAAAAATAATACCTAAAACTATTGACGCTACAAAACCCTAAACTGGAATGGGGGTTATCGTTTTTTTTTGCAGCTGTTAAATATTGTTAATCAAAGAGCTATCAGACCAATACAGACGGGGCCCAGTAGAGCTGATGCCCGATACGGAGCCGCGGAAGGCCTAACGGGTTGCCGGGGCTCCGGCTCGAACAGCAGGAGTAATAATAGGGTGGTTTTTGGTTAGTAAATGTCTGAAACTCCCTCTCACGTAACCCAAGGCGGTACAAGTCTGGATGATTTTCCCTCTCAAAAAAAAAGAAGCTGTAAAATATTGAATGTCCCATCCCATGGCTTGACACTAACAAATTCTCTATTGGACCAAGAACGAGCAATCACCCTAGCACCAGTAGTTCCCGAGCGTACGGCGCGTCGCGTTCCGCGCGCGCCTCAAAGAGCCATCAGACCACCAGTACCACCACAAATGGGGCCCAATAGGGCCGATGCCGATTCGGAGTCGCGGAGAAACTAACGGGTAACCGGGGCTCCGGCTCGACGTGCAGGAGTAGGAACGGGGTGGTTTTTAGTCAGTAAGAGTCTGACACTCCCTTCCGCCTCACCCAGGCGGGAGCAGTCACACCAGTAGTTGGTAAGCAAAAATACAATAGCTCCCATTCCCGACGACGCACGACAAAATTCGGTAGGTCGACAAAATTTCTACAATAGAGTTTCAATCTTATTCGGACTGGGATAAAATTGAAAATCTAAGAATGACTGCCTCGTTGGCCGAGTGGTCTTAAGTGCAACTGCCGGGCAAGGGGTTTCGTCATAGTCGTTGTCGGAAGTTTTATCCTTAGGTCTCGTACACAAAACAGCGATGAGATGCGATACGAATTCGCAATGCGAAAAATTACGATGCGACTTAGCAACGCGAAAAATTACTATGAGACTTCGCAACGCAAAAAATTACGATGCGAATTACTGCGATGCGATTTCGTGCGACAAGGCGTCTCCCAGGGTGACCATTTCTTCGACGACCGTCAACCGTATTAAACGTACCTATTTTAAATTGAAAACTAGGTTGTGAAATGGATCTTAAAAAGAAGTGTATACTTCTGTTATTCCTTAGGAGATACAGGAAAAAGAAGATATTGGGAAGATAAGATTTTGATGCGCGATGCGAATCTATTCGCAAGTTCTTGCGATGCGTAGAGGGAGCTCGCACATTTTTGCTATGCGACGTCGCATCGCAGTTTTGTGTACGAGCCCTTAAAACGCGAAGAAGGTCGCGGTTAATAACAAATCATTCTTGAATCGTCTGCAAGATGAATTGTCTGGTGTGAACCCGGCTAATCAAACCACATTTATCTACAAAGCGAAAAATAGGCTATCAAAATATGACATTGTTTATTTTTGATAGCGATTTATAGTATATATAGAATACTATATATAGATTGTAAGACAAAATTGACGAATTTCTTTACTAGCTACTTACTTTAAACTGTCAAACACCAAGCGGTCACCGGTGACCGCAACCTATTGTTCTATAATTGTGTCTACAAAACCGGTACTCGACGAGTTAATGCATTCTAAACTTTATTCCTTTGCCGTTAAAGTTGTAATTAGGGAAATTAAGAGTACCTCGATGTCTATACATAATTTAACTTACATTGACTTGGTAGGTTGTATCCTCCTGTGATCTTCGCCTCTCCTGTTGGGCATCCACCAAGGGTGTCACATTCTTCCTACAAAATAAGAAACCAGATAAACAAATATGCATTGGTAAAACGTTGGATTTCATACACTATCCTACTAGATACCTATAAAATCCAGTTATTTAAGAGATAACAACCTACATTATAATAGAAGCGTGAATTTATAACAAACATTGGAAAATACATATTAAACAATAACAATTACATAACAAAACAGTATTTTTAAACAATTAACATAATATTATGGAAAAACCAATTGCATATATATCTTTATCAACAAGTTTGATTTTTATTTTTAAAGCAATAAGGATCATTATTGTATGTTTACTTGATAGTGCTAATATGGTGTCAATGCTTTAGGAAAATCTATTTCTTTTAACTGTCAATAAGGTTCTTTATTTTCTTATTAACTGGAGATGTATGGCTGTATGTATGGTTGTTAGTCTTTTACCCATAAACTACTGGGCATGCCTCTACTAGCAGTATAAAGATATGCAGATAATACGACAATAAAAATTTGAATACTTGAGTACCATATCCTTATTAATATTATAAATCGGAAAGTGAGTTTGTTTGTTCCGCTTTCACACCGTAACTACTAAACCGATTGCTTTGAATTTTTGCAGACGTAAAGTTAGAAGTCCAGATTAAATAATAGAGTACTTTTTATCCCGAAACAATTTATATTCTCGAGGGAAAACAAAAGTATTGGTATAGATGGCGCTGTGTGTATTGGTATATGTCACATAGGCTACTTTTTATGCTTTTGTGACGCGAGCGAAGCCGCGGGTAAAAGCTAGTGGCAATATAAATAGGCAGGCATGCTCCATCATCGGCCACATGATCGCTTACCACCAGGCGAGATGGTGGCCAAATGTCAATCTATCAAATATAAAAACAAAAATAAAAAACCTGTAGATGAGGACCAGCTGCTCGGTGTATGGCTCCATCCACACCTCCACCAGCCTTCAGCATTGAGTTAGCCGCATTCACAATTGCACCTAACTAAGAAATTTAATTTTAGTTTTATTTATACTTAATAGGTCGACGTTTGACCTATTAAGTAAAATAAATATATATAAACATGAACATTATATTATAAATATTATTTGAATTATTTTGGCAATAATTAGAAAAGTCTAATTTTTTAATAAACCATTTTCTATAATTAATTGGTTTAATATAAGAATAAATCATTACAAAAAATAAAGTAATGTTTTCAAGTCTAGGTGCTGTGTTATAGTTTATTACTGAACCTAAGTTATCACATACCAACTAATTTTATTTGACACTTCCTACAATAAATGGGCTACACTACACAAAAATATTTTTGCAAATCTGACCCGTACTTCCTGAGATAAGCGCGTCCCAACAAACAAATAAACTCTTCAGATGAGATACAATAAGGATATTATTCAATACCTCCAAACGTGTAATATCGCCTTTATATAAAGAAACCTTCTCGGCCAAGCTCTTGTTCTGATGGTTATCAATTTTAAACTTATTAAATTCCGTTACATCGTCCAAAGTATGCTTTCTTTTCTCTACAGTACTATTTCTTATAACATAGTTGTTCCAAGGGTCAACCATATCCACAGTAACGACCGACATTTTATCGTACTTGTTTTTCTTTTCCTCTGGCGATAAGTTAAGGGTCTTTTGTTTCTCAACCTTCCACCTCGGCTCACTGAGTTTTACTTGCGAGCAATAATGCGTGTTGTACACTCCAGTGTTTTGACAAATGAAAAGAATTTTGTCAATAACTTTTCGCAAAACCGGTGCTCGCATTTTTAAGATCTGTCAAGTTTGACATTCTTTTGATCTTCCACTGTCAATGTCAATATTAGAGATGCTTTTTTAGTCGAGTAGTATGTTTTAAATCAAGGAATTTATTAACATTGTTCTACTACTACTATTATGTTGACGAAGTATTTTTCCATAAAAATGTTCGCAAATTATATTTTTTCTTTATTAAACTCAAGTAGTTGATCAATCAACATTTTAGTTGATTTAGTTTTAAAGTATTGCCAGTAAAAAGGGTTGTCAAACAAATTATTACGTCATCTTTGACTACGCAATTTGGTCCAACGATTTAAAAAAGGTGTCACGCATGGCTGAGTTACCTTTTTCTTATTTCATGCCTGACCTAAACTTTATTACGAAACTTTAAACTCAGTGATGAGTTTGTAACAGAGCAGGTTATCACATTTGTTAATCGAGAGAGTAGGTACCTACGCCGTAATGTTTTTACCATAAGGGCACTCAGAACCCGTGCCCAGGGCCTCCATCTTCAGGGAACCCCGAAGGACTGACAAATTTTACGACGAAAACACATCCGCTACACGTGGCGAGGAAACTGACTGCCCCGCAACGTATAGCGCGTCCGATTCCCGCACGGTGCAACATCTTTGAGCGATCCACAAATTATTCTTTCGGGAATAAATGCTCCCACGATACGATCGATAAAAATGCTAGTGTGAGTAAAAAAAAACATCCCAAAAAGGCACTGGAATTATTATGTGCCCAAGGGCTCCAGCGTAGTCTAAGACAGTTCTGTACCTATGCCTATAACGAGGTTTAGTGGTATGCTTTTTATGAAAAACAAAACTTAGTTCCACTACATCAGAGATTCCGTACTCATATTTTACTGAGAAATTCGGTAATTAACTGATTTTCTTACAATAATATTATGCAACTGAGATATCGTAGCCATTACTTAGAGGAACTGTTCTCCTATTCGATAAAAAACTAGTACATTCTGTAAAAACGGTCTGAATGTAAAACGAATGAGGAATTACTCTATCTTCTACATTGAGTAGAGATATAAAATCTATACTCTATCACAATGTTATATGAACGGAACCCACGACTTTATTTTCTTATTCGAACTTGACAGGGTTTTTCAAACTTTTGACTTTTGTAAGTACCCTCAAATGATAGTGGCTTGCTGGCAACACTGCATGGATCTGTCAAAGTAAGAACGGAACAACGGGATATCTCCACGTAACGCGTGTGCGCGTTTCTATAGTTTTCTCGCTTTATTCAATTAAATAATATTATTACGGCGGCGATGATTGTGTAGAAAAATCCCCACATAATAGGAGTACACATTTTAGACATTACATATAAAGATCCGGCCAGGTAAAACGTATATTATTGATGTGCAAACCGTGTTACTATTCGTTTGCATTGACACCGGTCTTTGTTAGTGATATCGCGTTTTTTTGTATTTAAATTAGTATTTGTATTACAGTATGAAGAGTTGGGGTCTTCTTCTGGTCGCTGCTTTAGCGTTAAGTGGCAGTTATGCAGTGGATAGGAATAATTTTAAGACTTGCGACCAGTCTGGTTTTTGCAAGCGGTTGCGGGGTTTTAAGCCGGAAAAGTCGGAGTACACTCTTAATTTAGACACTGTATTAGTACACGGAAATGTATTATCGGCCGAAGTTGACACTGTGGACACCTCGACCCAGGAAAGGAAGGTTTTGGTATGTGGTATCAAATTATTTTAATTTCTATGTATGATATATTTGCATTGGTGATTGGGTGGGTGCCAGGTTATTTTTGTAATAAACTGTATGTAGTAAACTGCAGTACAATACCTGGAAATGAATTAATTTGTTTAATTCTAATTTCACAGATGTAGGTACCTTCTACTTTATCTTATTAGACCTATGCTAATAAGAACATTTTAACGACCTTAAAGAAAACATTAATCTTCTTGCTAAGTAACTAGCCTGTAAAATAAAAAAAAAAACATAAAAATAAAGCAATTTACGACTGCAGTAATAAAATACACAAAACATGATTTTATTTGGTTATGTTTAATTTGTGGAAGCATTATAATTTAAATTGCAAATCAGTTATCAAACAATTGTTTAAATACTGAATTTTGAAATGCAATACATGTGAAGCAGCTAAAACCTTTTTTTCATACATATGGTTAAAATAGCATAATATTCATGTTACCTTTGCCTAAAAACCTCAAGTAATAAAAAAAAACTATAATTTGTTGTTAACAGTGGCACTATGCGATGAGACTATCAGCTCTGGTGGATGGCACATTCAGGGTGGAAATAGACGAGGTGGATCCTCTGTATCCAAGGTACAGGACCCAGCTTGCACTCAACGGAGAACCCAAGGCTGATGGGTGAGTTTTCAAATTATGTTTGAGAATCATCAATTCAATTTAATCATTGAATCAAGAACCTTTTCATGACAAATTTGTATTTTGATATTGTGTATTAGATTTCTTGAAAAGATGAAAAGTTAAGTTCCTTATTGGACAATAAAACCTAATAAGATTTACATCTCTTTTAATAAATAAGTAATTAGATATATTTATCATTCAGGAAACTTCAAGTAGAATAATTATGTGTTATAGAAGTAGTATTACAATAATAATCATTTTGATTAAAATAATTAAGACTGACTGCCAATAAAAATCTGTTGAAGGTAAATCCTCCGTTAACGCCGGTCACCGGTGACCCCCATGGGGTTTAACGTATTAAATATTATTATAATAAACATAAACCTTTGTTTCAGCCTAAAACTGCTTTCAAACGAAAATGGAAAGCTGACCCTCGCGAACAGTCAGGGACATAAAGTGGTGATTACAGCGGCACCACTGAAGATAGAGTTCCTGAACCAGGCTGGAGACGTGGCAGTGGTGCTGAACGACAATGCTCAGCTGGTCGTGGAACCGCTCCGAGTTAAAAAGGAAAGGATTGATGATGAGGATGGGAACGCTGTGGAAGTTGTGAGTCCGCTTTTGTGTTTGTACTGCTTTTGTGACTGGATACTGAAATGTAGGCAGTTGTATAGTCAGTTTTTACCACATTCTTAGTTTGGACTCTAAGTTCAAAATGGTTGTAAATTGGAACTTTTTGTCACACCCTTTGAGTATGGTCATTATAGACACAATTAAAGAACAATAGGTGTGCGGACACTGGTGTCCTCGCGGTGTATGACAGTTTAAATATATTAAACGCCATGAGGGTCACCGGTGACCGACGGTAGCAGAGGATATGCCTTCAACAGTTTTCTTTTGGCAGATATAAGATAAGTCTTTGAAATTCAAATGTATTTCGGTATTCTATCTATGAAGATGGTCGGCAATCTTATTGTTGTTGCAAAGAGAAAGTTTGTTACTTTTTCACACAACATGGCTAATAAAAATACTGGCAGCCTTCAAAATCAAATTACGACTTAGTGTTGACCTTAACTAATAGGAAAATGCCATTTGAGTATCTAGTCATTGTCATGTCATAAAATTTATTTTCAAAATGTTTTTAAAGGTCTATGTGCATATTTCCTTAAACTTTATGTATTTCCTTAAACACATAAAGATGTGTTAAGTGTATTAAACAATAAACTCTAATCATTTTTGCGGAGCCTTAACAACCCATTATCAGAATTCTAGAATTGCAGCAGTTTTGAGTCAATATTGGTTTTGAAATTCAAATTCAAATTAAAAAATTTTTCGTTAGTCTATTATTAATCAGGGGTCTTAATAACACTAGCGCCTCTAGCGGTAAGTTTATGCACGAAAAATTTCATTGGGATCAAAAGTTATTGTTTTGGTTATAGTTTATGTTCAATGTTGTCTGTCTGTACAGGCTTTGTCACCACAATCGATGTAGCATTTGTTCTTGAACTATTCCTATTGGTGTGAGGTTAGGGTGTCCTAATTGGATACTTGCCTTAATAAAAAAAAAATATTATGACTGTTCAGTACAATAAAATATTAAAAAATTAACACACTTTCATTAATTGATTTTATGACATTTAGTATTTTTCAATAAATATTTAACAAATAAGTATGCTGTTTGACGCTAAAAAAACTTGACGTCACAATACACAATCTCGTACAAAAATTCATATAAAACTTACTATATTTATTATACTTTCAAACTGTAAACGTATTTGACAGTTCGAAAAAGTATTGAATTTGACTAAATATGATACCCAATTGATAAAAGTTTTCATTGTGTCCATTTTCCAACCATGTTGGGATTAGTTGAGATTAAAAGATTTTAAATGATATAGGGACGATACGAAATAGAAAGCTGAGGGCTTAGCCCGGCGCCCTGATTGGTTGCTTCATTATTGGAGCAGGCCAATCAACACGGAACGCGGTTACGTTTACAAACTCGTACTAACTCCTCTCTGTTCAGATTTTCTTATAATTAACTTGATAATGTAGGTCAAAGTCAAAATCATTTATTTCAATTAGACCAAAAAGCCACTTTTGAACGTCAACAAAAAATTCTAAACTGAAGCTGTTTGCTCATTCTAAGATGTAGATTAGACGTACATTCCTATGGAGAAGGACGAGCAAGAAACTCCATAGGCTACTCTTTTTCAATCAGGTTCACAATACAATTGGCTAGTTTCCTGGGTTTAAAATGAATCGTTTCAACATTTCAATGCAATAAATAATTAAAAAATAATCATACTCTCATCCATTGATTTGACAATTTACATACTTTTGGATATTTTCTCGGTAATTTTAAGGAAATAAGTATACTATTTGACGTAGAAATATGATGACGTCATAAGTTGCGATCCAATACAAAGTTCATGGAAAAGTATCGTTTTTGACATTTCAATTAAATTATTGAATTTGACTAGTTGTCACCTACCGTATTCTCTAGTTACATAGTTTTGTTGGTTGTTTACATATTTGTTTTTAACTGTTGAAAGGCATATAATAGAAAAAAAAGTATTATTTTAGTAGCTTCATTGTCTACCTAATTACTACTCGGTAACGTAAACGAACATGACTTAATTTGTTATGTCACCGTTTTAAAATGACGTCAGTACTGCGTTATTGTTATTATCAACTTTCTTTCATACATTGCTTGTCCTTACAATAACTATAACGTTAAAAATGTATTATGTACTTACTGCCTCTGAGTAACTATCTAAGATGGATTAATCCCCGAGAGCGCCCGAGGCAAGCCCCTCATTATACGGAGCCGCGGAAGACTTAACGGTTGCCGGGGTTTCGGCTCGAAGTGCAGGAGTAGGAACGGGATGGGATTTTTAGTCAGTAAGAGTCTGACACTCCCTCTCGTTTCACCCGGGCGGGAGAAGTCATTGGATGATTTTCTCCCCTCTAAAAATAAAGCTCCTCTTTAGCGCCGCTGTCACTCTATGTACTGTTGGTCGCGCGCGGCGCCCTTTTGTAACCTGGCGCCTTAGGCATTTGCTTTAGTTTGCCTTAGGGATAATACGGCTCTGGTAACAATAAACCTCTACCTACCAGAGCCATCTTAGACAACGCTGGGGCGCTTGAGCATAATAAATCGGGGCCTTTTGGAATGTTTTGTTTTTTTTTAACATGTCGCCGCACTATTGAGTCTGTTTCCTGAAGGGTACCTGGGTGTCTTCAAGGTCCTAGTGAATAGGTTGGTTATGCGTCGATGTGCTCCATCGTTGGCCGCACCATCGCTTATCACCAGGCGAGATAGTGCTCAAACGTCGTCCATCAAATATATATAAAAAACTAGTATTTTCTTTGTATCGAGGGTGCATTTACAAACATAAAAGATCACATACACATGACATCCACAGACAGCAATTTGTGGAGGACACAAAGATTTGCTCCGTGCGAGAATCGCACCGCAAAAGAAGTTGGTTACCCCGCAACGTGTAGCGAGTGTGTGTTCGTCGTAGATAGAAATTGTCGGTCTTTCTGGCACGGGCCTTGAGTGTAGACGATACTGGTATCTAAGTACCTACCCACTCGGGCTTTATAAGAAATGACTTTATTTTTATGTTGAAATTCTCAACAGAGTCTGGAATCAACTACTGTACGACCAATCGTGCAGTGTATGACTCTGTCTAACTAATAATAGTAATAGACTGACCAATAGTCATTTCAATAAATAAAGTCATTTTTAAACAAAAATATAACGATGACGTTACCAACAATTATCCAGCTCAAATCGTCTTGAACTAAAACGGAAACAGCACTCGTGTTGCTTGTATCGGTAACATAATATTTACACTTTAACGCGACCTATAAAGTTGTAATTCGATACTTTATTTCTACTCCAGTAGTTTTTAGTCTGGTACAACGAACTGTAGGAGGCAAATCATCCGGTTCGGCGGTCCCTCACTCAAATATTGAGGGACCGACTACCTATACTATAGGTATACAGACGACATCACGTCTCTATAGGTCCTATATATAAAAGGTACATACTTATGTATACATAACTAGCAGCCCGTCCCGGCTTCGCACGGGGTAGACAATTATTTATTTTTGGACATTTGGATTGTTGTAGTGGCATAACTACAATAGTTGGACATATACTACCGCGGAGTTTTTTGTTCTTCAATATTGTTGCACATTATCTTGTTCTATCGCTAACGACGAAAGACATTTTAAGACTCATTTTTCTACACCTTCGGTTACATTGTTCAAATTTTACCAAGAATCCTTAATTTTTTTCAAAATGAAATGTAGCCTATGTCAAATTAGAAGAATGTTGTATTCTATTAGTAAAAGAATTTTGTAAATCGGCCCAGTACTTTTTAAGTCTGTTCATTACAAACATACAAAAATAGGTACAAATCTTTCCTCTTTATAATATTAGTATAGATGATAAAGAGGGATTTGATTATTTGTTTGCATTTAACATTGGCACGAAACGAATAGATTGATTTGTAAAATTCTCTTTGTCTCGATATTTCTAGAGTTCCAATTGGACCTACTCGAGAGAATCCGAATTAAAAACGAGCAAGCAACAATAGGATAAGACGAAATAATTTATAATATAAAAATCGTCATTTGTAGACATAGAACAAAGCTACAAAAACAAAGCCTACATTATTATAAATAATAATAATAGATACAAAATTGCAATATATGTATGTATACGACAATATGTTGATTTGTTTATCAGTCACGTATTGAGATAAATATGAGATCAATGGCATTGTCAATAAGCGCGTGTAGGAAGATGACAGATAGTGCGTATTTACGAATATTACTTATTTTGTCAATATGCTATTTATAAGCATCTTTAGATGTTTTGCATAGTAACTTGGTTAGGTACTTTAGGGGATACTCCGGTAAACGAGCTGACGGATCACCTGATAGTAAGCAATCGGCATCGCTCATGGACACCTGGAACGCCGGGAGACTAGGACCTTGAGGATTGTTGGGGATTCAGGGATTAGAGAAATTAGGGAGGGGGGGGGGGGTAATTGGGCCTCCAAAAACCTCACTCACATGACGAAACAACGGACGCCACTGACAAACGGTGAGGGAAAACATCGTGAGGAAACCTGGACTTATAATTTCTTATTAATAAGTTTGTAATCGCCAACCCGCAATGAACTAGCGTGATGATGAATGCTCAAACCTTCTCCGTGTGACAAGAGGCTTTGCTCAACAGTGGGCACTTATAGGCGGTTCATGATGACGATGAAGGGCCTTTTCTGTCGTAATATATATATGTATATATTTTTTTATGATATAAGCCGGTAGACGAGTAGACGGATCACCTGATGGTAAGCAATCGGCGTCGCCCATGGACACCTGGAACACCAGAGGCGTTACAAGTGCGTCACCGGCTTTTTGGGGATTAGGAGTTTGAGGATCATTGGGGATTCAGGGATTGGGGAGATTGGGGAAGAGGAAGGTAATTGGGCCTCTGGTAACCTCACTCACACGACGAAACACAACGCAAGCGTTGCTTCACGTCGTTTTCTGTGAGGCCGTGGTATCACTCCAGTCGAGCCGGC